TGAAATATTTGGAGAATATTAATATCAGAATATTAAAACGAGTAAATCGTTATATATTATGCAATATTACTGAAAATATAATTGCGCAAATGTTTGATGAAAAATCGGAAATGGATAAAAAAAAAGAAGAGAAACTGGTTTTGCGACCTTAAGGTTCGTCTGCATTAAAACTGGACCAGTATGGTCTTCCGGAAAGGTCAATGAACTTATTAGGTCAAAACATGTACATATATGGATATATATATATGTATATATATATATATATATATATATATATATATATAGTGGGTGAAACAGGATTCAGAATATGTCCACCACTTGTATATTTGGAATACACATGATTTGCTCTCCAGAACCACCTGGGGCTTCAAGAATCAAAATCCATAAAGTATATATATATATATATATATATATATCAAGAAATTAATTATTCGCCAGACAATTTTGCATATTCTCTTCATATGAAACTAAAATGTATTCAGAATGGTCATTGAAACTTTAAAAAAAAATTCCTGAGCTTTAAAATGGTACTAATCTTTTTGTAAAAATATATTAATGTAATATTTTTTTAATTTTTTAGTAGTAAAAAAACAAATTGTTTTATAAATAACTGTATAATTAATTGTATAAATAATAATTATTTAAAATAATATAAAACAAATATTTTATAAAAAAAAATTTATCTCTAACCTTAGCATTGCAAACGATGTATTGTAATATTTTGAACGATAGATTCTGCCGATGAAAACACTTGCGATTTAAAAAAAAAAAAAAATTCGAACACTCCCGAAACGTACGTTTAAATAAAGAAACAATTTTTTTTTTCTATTGAAATTTAAGCGATTGCGATTTAAAGAATTTGGAACACTCCTGGAATTAAGAAAAAAAATTACTGAAATGACTATATATATAAAAAAAAAGTTTAATACTCTAAAATTATTTCGTTCGCGAATTAATAAAATTCCAAGCACTCTCGCTATGTTATTCACTAGAAATTTTGTTAATTAAAATTTAGAAAATTTACACTCAGTTTGAAAACGTTTAAACAGATCGATACACAAATTGCAACTGATTCTATTATATCGTTGGGATTTTCAAACCACGCATTGTTTATGATCTTCGGCTTAAGGTCATCATACCCTTTGTATTTCAATGTAAACTTGGATTGCAGGTATATAAAGGTAATAAAATTCCACAATCATATCGACACAATAATTATTATTTTCTTCAATTTGAAATTCAAAATTTTCAAAATATTTTTTTTTAAACAATTTTTATTTTTAGTTTTTAATATTTTTTAATTTTTAATATTTCAATATTGTTAATATTTTTATTTTTTAATATTTCAATTGTTAATATTTTTATTTTTTAACATTTCAATTAGTTAATATTTTTACTTTTTAATTTTTTAATTGTTAATATTTTTATTTTTTAACATTTCAATTAGTTAATATTTTTACTTTTTAATTTTTTAATTGTTAATATTTTTAATTATTAATATTAAGAATTATTCTTAATATTTTATAATATTACTTACGTAAGTGGAATAATTTTTCTAATACCGTCATTTTAAAATTTATTGTAAAGTACTGCTTTTGTTACTAAAAAAAAACAGTAAATTTTCCCATAATGCATTACTTTTCCACTCTGTTGGAATACTATCGCAAATATAAAACAACAATATAATTTAAGTACAAAAATATTAAAATAAAATGTAAAAATAGAATATATAAAAGTATTAAAATATTTATTATAAAATTTAAAAATAGTGTAATACTAAAAAAGTGTAATAAAAAAAAGAAAATATACATATATTGAAAAGATGAATTTTAGAAAAGAGATGAATTTTTATAACTAATATATTTCATTTTTTAAAAGCGAATAAAAATGAAAAGTAACAAAAAAAATTGTTGAAAATTGAAAATAAAGAGATAAAGGAAAGTAAATCCAGGAAAATTGAGATAATACAAACTTTAATAATTGTAAAAAAATGTATACAACTCTCGAGTGTCTAACTCTAGATGTATCAAAATTTATTATATATATATATATATATATATATATATTTATCTAATCAGTTTTGAATATTTCACTATTTACAACTCATAGCCTAAATCAACAGACTACCAATATAGTAAAACCGATTGCACTAATCCTTATTTATATATATATATTTATAAAAAAAATTTTCTTCTAAAGAAAAGAAAGAAAAAAGAAATAAAAAATCAATGGCAGTTTATCGTCGCACAATTCCTGACGTTTTTTTTTCTAATTGACACTTTTTTCAGATTCTAAATTAAAAAAAAAAATTATCCAAATATCGAAAATACTTTTAAAAACTCATTTCAATTAATTTTTAAAATAAGTTCAATTATTTCAAAAATTAACACAAAAAACAGAATCTGAAAAATGTGGCGCAGAAATAATTTAACCGCTAAAAATTTCTTTTAGATTTTAAATTATAGATAACAAATTTTTATAATATAAAAAAAATTTCCCGTATGTACACTTTGTTTAATGTAAAAAAAAAAAATTATTACTGACCTATTTACATCGTTAGCTCTACCTAATTCTAAGTCATAAAATTGCGAAATATCGCTGTTTGAAAATAAACAAAACTCGCTTGAGCAGGATTTCCCGTATTTTTGTCCAAAAAAAAAAAATTAATTGAAAAAAACTAAAGGATAAAAATACTATTTGAAAAATGAAAAATAAGGGAAATTCGCTTTGTCAGTGATTCAAATGAAAATTCCGGAAATCGGAAATAGAATAAATAGATCCTGACAAAATATATGTCAATTAAGATATAAAATATAAATCCCAAAAATAATACTTGATCATCAATGATTCATTACTACATAAATTATAATTATAATTAAGAAAAAAAAATTGGTCATTATAATTATAAGCAATAATAATCGAGTGTGTTAAATATTAGTTTACAAAAAAAATCATACACACGCAAAACTCGCACGCAATCCCAAGCCGTGTTCCAACTCACGAATCCGAGTTTTTTTTTTTTTTTTTTTTTATAATGAATGTCAAGGTTCAGACGAAAAGAAAGCTCTACTTAAATATTTTATTTTGTCTCAAGGAATGAGAATTTACTTTTTTAAAATTATTTATCATTTTTTTTAAATGTCAGTTTCAATTAAAAATAGCGTGTCTTGACTTTTTTATTTATTCATTTTTCGTTTTCAAAAGTCGATCACTTTTATTCTGAATAAAAATTGTTTCATGTAAAAAAGAAACAATTAATTTTTTTTTTTAAATTAAAAAATCAAAAAACACGAACCGCTAGTTGGAAAGCGGGCCTTGGTCATATTTTTTTTATTTTTGTTTTCTCTTAAATTTCATGGCTAGTAATGGCGTTTTCGCAGGTACTTTGGTAATCAGCAAAGCTGGACGTAGTTTGCATAATTTTTTTTTGTCGCTCAAAATAAAATATTCAACGGTGCTTTTCTTTATCAAAAACGAGCTTTGAGATTTTTTTTTTAATGTTAAATATAATTTCAAAAAAAAAAACGAAACAAAATGTTAATTTACAATTTATTTTTCAAAGGCCCTAAGAGAAAAAGTGTCAACTAGATTTGTTGAAAAATTCAAAAACAATTTTTTTTCTCTTTGTAATTATTAATTTTTTGAATAATAGCGAAATTTTAATGATAAAAGTAGAAAAACATTCTCATTATATTTTTAAAATGAAAAAAGGTTCTTTCTTTTAGAAAAAAAAATTTCTAACGTTAAAATAGAATTTAGAATTTTTTTTTCAATTTCAAAATATTAATTTTAATTATAAAAATAAAAATATTAATTGTAATAACGTTTCATCTAAATTTTAAAAAATGTCATAAATGTTCTTAAAAATGTAAATCGACTTTTACCTGTTTAATTAATATTTGAATTTAATTAAAGATATTTAAAATATTTAGAAACTATATTTAATTTCGATTTTTAGATATTTTCTACTTTTTTTTATTTATTTTACTCAAAACTATTTTCTGTAACTAAAAATCAAAAAAATTGCTTCTCATTAAAAAAACTAATAATCAAAATTTAAATTATATTAGAAATTTTATTACTATAAATATATTGGAAGATAATAAAATTTTTTATTTCAATTCGAAAGTAAATTCTACTCATAATCTCTTATTTAACGTCAGTGAAATTCACAACGTTTATAATCAACGATTTTGAGAAAAAAAATATTTGTTGCAAATATTATTATTTTCTAATTATATTAATTTTATTTTTAGACTAAATGCAATTTTTTTCTGTTCCCTCAATATAGTTAAATATAAATTATTTTTCGATTAAGGAAATAATAGGTACAAAAATTTTTTTTTTGTTACATAAGTAAAAAAATGTATTTTATTTATTTAGTAAATTAAAATTTAGTGAATTTATTTAAAATTTATTATTTCTTAAATCGAAAAAAATTTATATTTCTTAAAATAATAATTTTTTGACTGAAAAAATTTTTGCAATTCTTTTCGATTAATAATTTTTTAAAGAAAAAAATTGTAGGCCAAAATTATTATAAAAATTATCATTTTTTGACCGAAAACATTTTTGCAAAATAATAATTACAAAAAAATTATAAACCATATTTAATATTATAATTTTTTGATAGAAAACATTTTTACAATGAAATTTTTAAATTAATAATAATTAAACAAAAATACACCAAAAATTATTTTCTGCGTGAAAAAATTTTGTTTTCTTTTTCAATCGTTGATTATAAACATTGTGAATTTCCTCCCCGGTTTTATTTGAGAAGAAAAAAAATATCACTTTTTCTCTTAGGTCCGTATTATCAACATTAAAAAAATATAAAATCTGTGACAATTATTTTTTGGAGAATTTGAAGAGATTTTTGTTTTGGAGAATTTTTTTTTTTGTTCCCCGAGGTAGCAGGAGAGATGAACGTCGAGTTGGAACACGGCCGAGGTCCTCTCACTTCCTGAACACCACACCATCAGTCCTCAAGAGCCACTCACCTGTAGCCCTCGTTGACGATTCCTGCATATCATCATCATCATCATCATCAGATTTTTTACGATCATCTGGTGGAATTCTCTTGGATTTGATTGTTGTCTTCGTCATTGTCGTCATCGTTGTCGGTGATGATTCTTTGCCGTCTTGGCCTGTAGATACTCGATCGTTGATAGGCAACCCTCGCCCCGAATCCGCCATCGATGTGCGCTGCTGTTCCTGGAGTAAGCAAGCGCTCGACAACAGGTCCCATTGACGGAGCTTTTCTCGATCGAGCTCGAACGACGTCGTTGTCCGCGTTCTTTCCACGCTCGATCCACTCGGGGGAAGGTTGCCTTCCACTAAAAAATGCTTCTCAATTGTATTTGGCTTTCTGTACGCCTCATTTTTTGAATCCCACACATAACCACCGGCACCAATTCTATCCATTGCTAAAGTTTCATAGGCATCGTCTTCCTCGTCTTCATTATTTCCCATTGATGAATTTGCATTTTGATCCAAATTTTGATTTTGTTCATTATCATTTGATCGTCTCTTGACTCTCGTTGATCGATCAATGTCTAAAGTACCCGATATCACACTGTCATTAACGTAAATTGCACCGCGAGTGATTTTACCTCTTGATTTTAATTCCGTTCTCGCCGGTCTCGGTGGAGTTTCCAAATTATCCAATGATCTTGCATGACGAAGACTCACTCTTCTGAGACTCTCACGCCAGAGGGAATCCTGTTCCCAAGGATCTTCGAATGTTCCCTGTTGACTCCTGATATTTTCCGTCTCAATTCTTGTATTTGTATTTGCACTTCTTTCGACAGTTGTTGTTTCATTTAAAATTCTATTCGCTCTATTTCGTTCCTCAACTAAATTTTGCAGTCCCACGTCATCCAATAATCCTTCCAATGATCTTGATCGTCTGTGCGATGTGGTAACAATGGGAAATTCAGGTTCTAATTGTTGACTACCGGATTTATCCCTCAGACCATGGGGGTATAAATTTCTTGTACTCACATCAGGTAATGTAACATCGGGTAATGGATCCGTGGATTTAACCCTACGCAATGTATCGGCTTCGTAAAAATTTCTCTTATCAACCAATCCAACTTTATCCTCAGCCAAAAATTGTGTTGTTTTTCTCAATTCGGCGGCAATTCGTCGTGCCTCATCAATATCGTCGACTTGAATTTGTCTCGGTAGTTGTCGTGCAATTGGATTAACCATTCTTCCAATGTCATTTCGTTTATTGATCGAAGTATCGCCGCGTTGATTGTTGAGCTGTGGTAATCTCGATGTGTGAAACAATGATCTTGGTTGTGTTTCAGTAGTTGCACCCGTTTGCAAATCAGAATAATAATAAGGTGCATGATCGGCAGTAGCCAAATAAATTTGTGGCGATGTTTTTGAATCTTGACTCGACGATGATCTTTGATTTGGCGATAGGGAATAACGAGCTGAATCCTGACTCGCTGATCGTGAATGATTTTGCAGAGTAATTGGTTTTGGAGAAATTTGCTGTGGTCTTGATTTGTAAATTGGACTCTCGACCTCGGATCGTGTGACAGCTGGTGAACCACGAAGGGGAGAGAAACTCAAAACGTTCTCATAGTGTGCATCGCCGGTGAATGATTGTGAATGTTGATGCGATGGTGGAAGATCAGAGACACGCATTGAGGGAAGACTACTCGCTGAACTTGTTTTGCCTCTTGTACCATAGGTGAATGGTTGATCGAGATTCATTTTATCCTGACATGATGTTTTTTGTAATTTATCAGCCACCAGCATATTCTCATTGAAACCATAAATACTATTGTAACTTAAATCCTTGGCATAGAGATCAACGTTGAATGCATCCCTAGCTTGCAATTCCTCGAGATATTGATCAAGATCAATACTCGCACCATCAAAACGACTACCAAGTGATTCGAGTTCATCAAGACTATCCAATACTTCACAAACATCATCACTCACCGGTCTTCTTTTCAATTGTCTATGTCTTGCTTCTTCAGGATTTTTTAATTCCGTCGAATCACTTCCCGTACTCTCTAAAGAGACTCGACTATCCCTTGTTGATTCTGTAGACTTCCGTGAAAGATTCGTGCCTGTTTGTTTGTTCTGTTCTTCCTCCAAATCCTCCATTGGTGGCGGTGACGTTGGAATTGGAGGCGGTGACACCAATTCACTATCCGATGAATCGTGAAGTTCAGCAATTAGTGTTCTACTCGCTCCTAAATAATATGAAGCTGGTCTAAATGTATCGGAAAGACTGAAACGTGGATGACGTGGTGCATCAATTGAATCCAAATCCTTCGACGATTCATCATCAGCGTCAGAGCTATCTGATTTTAATGCAGTGAGAATATCGGGAAGTTCAGAACGTTCAGATTCTCTTTTTTCACATTTTTTTACTTTCTCCTCATTTTCAGCGAGTTGATTCACCTCCATGTAAACTGGTTCCATTTTATTATCGGTAACACAAACAAATTCATAGTGCGCTGTTTCAAGTGTTGAATAATCACCATCGATATTTGGTGCAAGTAGTGAACGACCCAATCCATTTTGTGTCATTTCAACATATGAACTTTCCTCATGATCCAATGTGGCAAATAAACTTTCCATCATTTTTGGCGTTGGTGTTGTGTCATCTATATTAGGATCGAGAATCGATTTACGCGGTGACATTGGTAGATAATGATTTTCCGGCGATGTATCCTCTTTTGTATTATTTTCACTTTCATCGGAAAATTGATCACCATGAGTCACTAATGATTCTGTCATACTCAAACGAGTGTAACCTGATGTTTCTAAATCTTCCACCTTTGAGGTCTTACGTCTTCTTTTTCGATCCTCTGGTTTTCTTCTTATTGTTCCCGTATAGCTATCGACTTTCTCTTCAATCACTTTTAATTTCCCATAATTTTCTTCTTGCTTCTGATAATCATTTTTATTCAAATAATCAGATTTAGATTCTTTTTCCTCTTGATTTTGATTTAAATAATCAGATTCCAATTGATAATTTTCCTCCTCAGTTTTTTTACTATATTCATAAATTTTTTGATAATTCATTGAATTATCAGTGAATTTTCTATAATCTGTATTCTTTTGATATTCATTTAAATAATCACGATCCTTGTGATATTTATCATCTTGTTGATAATTTTGTTTGTATATTTGAAATTTTTGAAAATGTGAATCTTCCTCACAGCTTTTTTCCGGTTGATCTAAATCACTGCCAGTGTCATAGAGAAGTGTTTCAGTGTCACTAAAAACCCCACGGTGTTTTACTTCCTTTCGTTTATCATCATCCTCCTGTTGTCTTATTTGTTGTGATTTTTTTTCAAAATCCGCTAGTAAATCCTTGACAGATTTATTTTTCTTATTCACCACTTCGTCGTCGTTAATTGGAGATTCTTGGGTGAGTGCAAATTCTTTGATAGTCGTTGGTTTTCGAGTTGAGTCCAATTTCGAAACATGAGCCTCAATTGCTTGTGGTGGAGAAATTTTCAATGGCTCTTGCATTGTCAATGTCTCTCTAACTGGACTTGAACACAATTCAAATGATTTAATTCGACTTTGTACCAAATTTACTGTATCAACAATTTCCTCATCTGTTTTCAAATATTTTGTGGAATTATCTAATTTTTTCTTCATCTCCCAATATTCGTTATCGTCTTTTGTTTTCCATTGAACATTTTTTGTTTGCCAAGTTTCACCTGGTATATAACCAGCTAGTGTACTGAGTTTTCCATCTTCATTTCGTGTGACAGCTTGGTTTGAATAAGCACTCGGTGTTTTTAAAATTCCCGAGGGCTTCTTTGGTGTTTCATGATGATGTTGGTGGTGATGTTGTGAATCCATGATATTGTCCTTTTTCGTGGAATTTCTCTCCTTTGTTGTGGTTGATTTTCCTTGGAGGTAGTTGACCTCCTCGTAACCGGCGTCCGGCGGAATTCCACAGAGAGTTGAAGGGTTAACAATACCGGCGACACTGGACTTGTGAGTGTTGTTGACGACAGTTGTTGTGGGTGACCGATCCTCTCCAAAATTCCGGGGGCTCCTTCCTGTATGCGAGGGTCTACGCGTGCGCTTCCTCCGGACATCGCCCAGCTCTGATTCGTTATCAAACAGATACATTTTTTTTTAAGTTACTTTTATTTATTTTTTTATTTTTAATTCCGATAGAATTTCTTAATTACCCACAACCAGAAGATATTTGTGCAAGTCTCTGCATTGAGAGAAAAAGAGAAGGAGAAAATGATCTACTTTAAACTTATTTATCAAAAGCATTGTTCTTCCAAACGCTTCCAAATTTAGAAAAAAAAAATAATTAAAATCCTTTAAATTACAAAGAAAATCCTAATAAATTTCCTATTCAAAATTTATAAAATTGAAATTAATTTCTAAAAAGGTTACTTAAAAGCAAGGATAATTGATATTAATTTTATAATAATTTATATAATTTTACAATAGTTTGTATAATTCATAAAATTATATAATTTATTTTTAAAAATTTTAATTTAATATAAATAAATAATTTAAAATAAATGAAAATTGATTTTATTTGTCAAAAAAAAATAAAAATATGTCTCGATGCAGAGATTGAAATTAAATGAAGATTAGTTGTATAAGAAACGAGCTTGAGGCGATGACGTTCGCAGGACGAGAGTGTTAGTTGACCTAATGACATGCCATGCTTCCGACGACCTTCAAAAGCATCTAAGTTGTTAATTTTAATCAGACCAGACCCACCATCGCCATAGAGAAGGAGCCCCGAGGAGAGAAACTGTCGTTGATTTTTTTTTTAACAAAATCTTGTTTTCAATATCTTCAATTTAAAAAAAATATATACTCTCTCATTTATGATAAAAATTGAAAATTAATTATTAAAATTTACAATTATTTTATCAAATTTAAAACTAAATATTGGAAAACGCCATTAGAAAAGCCACCACGAAAAAAAATTAAAAATACTCATTTTATTAAAAATTAAATAAAATAAAATTAAATAATTAAAATTTAATTATTAACATAAAAATGTTAATATCAAAAATTAACCTTAATTCGATTTTAATTATCTTAAATATGATATTTATTAATATCCCGAATAATTAAATAAATAAATATTAATAAAAAATATAGATTCCAAAATCTATGTTAATTAATACCAATTTACTATTAATAATTGTAAATGTAATACTAATTATCATTTATTGAAAATTAAAATTAATTTAACGGTAATTATATTTTTTTAAATTTTTCTAAAAATGTAAAAAAAAAATTCCACGTACGATTATAATGAGACATTAAGCAATTTGTTAATTTTTCTGTTTTTTAAATACATACATAATACATATTTAATAACATTTGTACGTGCAACCTTGTTAGTCAATAAAAGGCTGAGCGAGTTTTTTGTTTTTTTTTTGTTTTTTTTTTTTCTTTTAAGGTCTGAAAGCAAAAAAGAATCGAGAAAGAAGTTTTTAAGTAGATAACGAGGGAAATGAATTGTTAGAATTTCCAACCTTTTGTTAGTCTTTTTTTCGATGTGTGTGTTTTTCAAAATAGCAGTTCAACGATTCTTTTGCTCGAAAAAAAATAATCCTCAACAATTAGTATACTATAAATAAAAAAAAAAAAAAAAAAAAATTCCAATTGTTTTGCTGGACAACAATTGACGTGAAGAGAAAAGTTATAAAGCTTTATCGTCTCGTCCATTTGGATGCAAAACTTTAGTTTGACGAACGTTGTTAAAACTTTTAACTACGTAACATATATAATTATATACATTACAGAGAAAGCTTCCAACTCTACTAATGGGCACAAGATTACAAAACGAAAGGAACTTGGAACTCGTATTTCGAACTCGTAAGTGCAAAGTTCGTTTTCAAATGAGTTTATAATTCTTTTTTTTTTTTTTTTTAAATTTGGAAGCGTTTGTAACAAACGATATACAGTAGTAACAAATTATAATATAAAGCCGAATTTTGAAATGCAAATCGAATTTGTCAAAATTACTAAAAGAAAATGGTTCCAAATTTCTTTTTTTTTTAATGGAAAAAAATGAAGGCGTTATTTTGTGTGTGTTTGTGTTTTTTTAGATGATAAGTTCAGGTGAGGAAGTTTCCCTACCTTCGTCATCGCTGGAATAACTGTTGTAGCGCGAAACGTTGGTCGCAGATCTTCTACCATCGGAGCTTTTACTTCTGACGTGCGGACGATGAGTTTCCTCTCTTCTTCTGGAATGACGTGCTTCAGCGACAGAAGCTTCATGAGCAGCCAAATCAAGTAGAGCTTGTTGTTTATAGTAGTTTGATAACTCGTTTTGTGCTGTACCTCTATTTGTTGATCCAGAGGGCTTTCTAGTCAGTGGCGACTGCAGCATTCGCTGCTTCCACTCCAAAAGTCGCTTCATCGATTCTTCTCGCTAAAAAGAAAAAATAAAATCATTTTTAAAAAATTATTTCAAATTTTCTGTTACCTATTATTTTCTTTATTATTATTATTCCATAAGTTTGAAATTTTTCATAACAGCTCATTGAATTAATGAGTTTTGTTTTCTGACTAAAAAGTTGGCGAAACCTGCGATAAGAATTAAATTATGCACACCTTGCATTTGAAAATAAAAAAATAACAAAACAAAATGAAACAATGATTCATCATCATCATTATCGTCGTTTTTGTAGACTGATGGGATTCACGTCTCGTGTGTCTAAGATTCCGGGTTTCATGGTGAAAGCTATGAACGACGAGTTCGTGACGATATTGCTAATGACGTGAAGCAAATGCATTTACCTGTCGCAAAGCTTTATGAATCATGTTTAAAAGTACACGCTACACGTTTTACTCCTCACAGGAAAGAGTCATGAATCATTTTTATGTTATTTTCTTCAAAAAAAAAAAAAAAAAAGGAAGGAGAAAAAAAAATTCCAACAAATGACAAAAGACTGTTACTGAATTATAAACAAGACTCAGAAATTTTGTTTATCTTAAAGAATCTCAATGTTCAATAACAAATATTCACCCCTTTTATTCAACATTGATTTTTAATATTTCAAATTGATTTCTATGTTAATTTTTAATTTCTAATTATTTTATTATTGTTTTAAATATTTGGACTTTAATTAATATTTGAAATATAAACTAAAATTAGATTAATTAAATGTATTTAATCTACTTTTACAGACGTTAAAAAATTTTGTTATGTAAATAAATACAAAATAAAAAAATATTTCCATGTGGATCATCAATTTATTTGAATGAAAAAAGAAAAAGGTAAAAAAAAAAATTGATTACCTGTTGAATTTTTCGTTCTCCGTCCCTTGAATCGTGATTGGATGATCGATCAGCGTAATCGTCGTCGTCGTCGTCGTCGTGGTCAACGGCAGCGGGATGCCTTGTTCGTGGCAATCGAGCCGATGCCGACCTGGCGAACTGTTGCTCGTTCCATCGTCTAGGCCCAGTATGACAAGCGGCTGGACTTCCATAGGAACTATGATTAGTCACGTGACTCGCTGTCATTCCTGCGGTGCGAGTAACTCCACTCGATGGATCGTAGTCACGTGGCATTCTTCTAGGTACGGTTCCACTTTCATTGTGAATCAGCATTTCTCGATTTGTTGCCGGTTCATAACTTCTTTCACGCAATGATCTTCTCAAAAGTGCCTCGTTACTTGCCAAGCTAAAAGTGAAATAAAAAAAAAAAAAAAACACCGTCATTAATAATTTTCAAAAAATTGATATACAATCAAATTAAATTGATAAATTTAGTAGATTATTAATTATTATTATTATTATTATTATTATTAATTAAACATAGAGGGATTAAACATTCCCTGAACATAGAGGAGAAATTCTAAACATTATTAGTCAATTATTATTATCAATATAAATATGAATTAAATTAAAAATTTTGTTTAGATTTAATAAATATAAAAAAATTAAATAATTAAAAATTAATAATAAATTATTAATTAATAAATTTGATAATTAAATAATTTAACTATTAAATTTTTTCTTTTCTTGTAAGCCCGTACATTGTGATTAAATAAATAAATTAATCGAGAAAAATTAGATAATAGTAAAAAGTGCGGTTCTTCCTTCAATTATAACAAATAAAAGATTATAACGGTTAATTTTTAATTCTACAAACACTGAAATTAAATTCATTTTATATCAATTATTGAGATCTCATTATTATTTTTTTTTTAGACACATTCAATGGGAATGAATAAACATATTTTTTCTTCTTCTTCTTCTTCGTGTTAGAGGGAGCTTTTTTTCTTTTTAAATATAAAAGAGAAAAAAATTTTTTTTTTTAAAGAATTCGAGGTAGAATTTTTAGAATTTCTTCTCTATATATGTTTAGTAGGAATATTTGTTGGAATAATTAAATGACGTTTGCAATATCAATTAACTTACTCATTGTGCCTCTGTAGGGGTTGTGAACTAATGATATGTTGCATGTGATCTCCTCTCGATCGTCGAATTCCAGAGCAGGAATTTTCCGACAGCGTTCCAATGCCAGATTCAACATCTCTGTCTCTATTCGATGTCATTGATGGCGTCGTTGCTCTTGAAAGTGACTGATTCCTTTGTTGCTGTTGGTGTTGAGGCGTTTGATGAATGTAAACTGCGCTTTGTCGCATTTGTGCTGCGTATCTATAATTAGAAGGGAGAAAAGAAATTTATTTCCAAAAAACAAAAAATTAAAGCAAAAATTGTGGTTATAATTATAAATAAAAAAAATAAATAAAAAATAGTGAAAGAAACTTTTTTGAATGCAAATTGAAGATTTTAATGAAGGAAAATTGAAGTTACCTTTCCTCGGAGTAAAAGTAGTTGTCATTGGCAGGAGTATCGGAGGGATTAACAATATCTAAACTTGACTTCGGCCTCTGCGGTCGCCTGGATTGATTTTGGAGACTATCTGACTGAATGAGAGTTTGCTGATCTGGTCTTCGATTTGCTTCGTACTCGAGGAAATCAGCACTATGGGGCCGTGGCGGTGGATGAACTTTGGGTTGTCTCATTACTGGAGCTAAAGTTACAGAATAAATATATATATATATATATATATATATATATATATATAGCTTTTCTTTTTTTCTTCTATCAAAACGTTGAAAAATTCAATGCAATCCAATTATAAAAATTCAATCACTTCTTTTTTTTTTATCGATTTCAAATTATTTTACTATTCTTCTGACAAATTATTATTAACTAGCAAAGTTAAACGCGCTCAAGCGCGCCAAATTGACTATTTAATTATTTGTTATAAAGAAATTAAATATTAATATTATTACTAATTATTAGAATATTATTACATATTAAATAATAATAATGAAAATTATCAGGCCTCGGATTATACGACTTTTTTCAAAAATACGATATTTATCGACTTATTTTAATAAAATGCGACATTTTTTTTTTTACATTTGAAAAAAAAATGTAAATAAAATACATTTTTTTAGTATAAAATTTATATCTTCTTCAGATCTTCTTCAATTCAATTATTTAACAAATTTTGAACTAAAATGATTCTTCACTACATTAATTATTTTTAATAAATTTAATGAAATACATCACAAATTCAATTATATCAAAATTATTTTTCAATTAAAATTTTTATGAAATTTAACAATTGTTTATAATTTAAAAAAAAAATATCACAATAAAATTGAATTATTTTTTAAAAATTTCAATTCAAAATAAACTAAAATTCAATTATTACCCGAAATTTTAATTCAAAATCAATTAAAAATCCAATCATTATCCAAAATTTTCAATTTAAAATTTAATTATTTACCAAGTTTTTAATTTAAAATGAAATAAAATTCAATTATTTTCTAAAATTTCTATTTAAAATTAATTAACCAAATTTTCAATCAAAAATGAACTTTAATTAAATTATTATCCAAAATTTCAATTAAAATTTAATTACTTTCCAAAGTTTCAATTTAATATTAATTGAAATTCAATTATTTTCCAAAATTTCAATTAAAATTCAATTACTTTCCAAAGTTTCAATTTAATATTAATTAACATTCAATTATTTTCCAAAGTTTCAATTCAAAATCAACTAAAATTCAATAATTTTACAAAATTACAATTGAAATTCAATTATTTTCAAAATTTGCAATTTAAAATCAACTAAAATTCAATTATTTTCAAAATTTTCAATCCAAAATCAAGTAAAATTCAATTACTTTCAAAAGTTTTAATTTAATATTAATTGAAATTCAATTATTTTCCAAAATTTCAATTCAAAATCAATTAAAATTCAATTATTTTCAAAATTTTCAATCCAAAATCAAGTAAAATTCAATTACTTTCAAAAGTTTTAATTTAATATTAATTGAAATTCAATTATTTTTCAAAATTTCAATTCAAAATCAATTAAAATTCAATTATTTTGAAAAATTTTAATTGAAATTTAATTATTTTCTAAAATTTCTATTCAAAATTAATTTTCCAAATTTTCAATCAAAAATGAACTTAAATTAAATTATTATCCAAAATTTCAATTAAAATTCAATTATTTCCCAAAAATTTTCAATTTAAAATCAAATAGAATTTCATTATTCTCAAAAATTCAATATCAATATTCTTTGAAATTTCAACTATCTGAAACCATTTTTCAATTAAAAATGATTTTCAAATTATTGTATTTTGTCCGCATTTTCTAATAAATTTTTAGTGAAATCATCTTAAAATTTTAATTAAAAATCACTTAAAGTTTCAATTAATTTCAAAAATCTCAATTTTAAATCTTCAAAAATTCAATTAAATTTAAAAAATGTTTTCCAAAAATTGTTTGATAAATTATTTTTAGTTCTGTAAAATTTAATAATTGTTTGAAAATTAACAATATCTTTTGAAATTTAATTATTTCTAAAAATTTCAACTATAACCCGTCGAAAAGGAGTATTATTAAAAAAAAATTTTTATTTAAAAATCTGTAAAATATTTTTGTTAAAATAAAAAACAAATACACTTTTTTTTTAATATAAATCGACTGAAACGACTTTTTGTGTCTTTAAGTTGATTCGAGGCCTGTGTTTTTATAATTAATATTTAATAGGTATTCGTTGGCCCCTGGTACCTTAAAAATTAATTTTTAAAAATAAATTTTTTTCAAATTACTATCTTGTACGAAATTTCCTGGCGCATCTTTTTTCTCATCATAAATTTTTTGTATTTATATACAATTTTTGAATCAATATACAACTTTAAAAAAAATTTCGTTAGTAAACGTTGTGTACTTCAGCTTCGTGAATTGAATTTTCGAATTTGGAATTTTAAAGAAACTTATTCCGAAATTTGGAAACACAATTATACAACTTTAGCAAAAGTGAGAAAAAGAATTGTCAAAATTTGACACGTCATAAGATTACGATTCAAAAAAACACGTGAAATCAGAAAAGGCCAACTTCAAGTTAGGACAGAAGGACAGACCAAGCATTTTATTATTATATAATTATTTATTATATATAATTAAATTATATTTACTGTATAATTAATTATTTATAATATATTGAAATAATTTCTAATTAATTTATCATAATTATTACGAAAAAATATAAAAAAAAATTTCAAAAATATAATTTTTAATTTTTACTTTAAAGAAGTGTTTCAACTAATTTTCAGAATTCTTAAAAGTGCTATCAAAAACTTTAATTAAACTTTATTTAATTTAAATTTGTAAAAAAAAAAAATTTCCCTAACTTTGATATATACTCGTACACGTATAGTGTTTTGAATTTTCACTTCTAGGGAAAATTGTTACATAATATGAATATATGAAAACTTTTATCAAAACTTTGAAGAACACTAAATTTCCATAAAACAATTTATGGCTAACTTTCTAAGGGTTGTGATTTTTAGGAAATCTAAACATAATTTACAGAGTGGAAAATGTTTTTCTTGAGACGGCATAATTTAACACTGAATTATGGATTTTATGGTTTTGTTTCAATTCGTGCGAGAATTAAATTTAGTTTAGAGATTTCTCTAACGTAAAACTAATATCTGAAAATAACCTATATAATTTTTTTCTATTTAGTTACTTTTATGGAATTAGATCTTTCGATAATTATAATAAATAATAATAAATTTAATTAACTTATTTTAAATTAAATAAATACGATTTTAAGGCAAAATTAGCGCAACTGTTAAAATACAATAAAAAAATATAACTTGAAAATTTATAAAACAATCATAAATCAGAATTCTCCGGTACGAAAAGAAATAATTAAAATCCCATCACAGAAGAAAATTATTCAGAGTTGGAAAAAAAAAAAAAGTTAAAATGAAAAACCAAAAAAAAAGGGGTGAAAGTTTTTAATTGACTCACCAACTTGAGGTGAGACACCATAAACTTGTTGTTGTTGAATTTGTTGCGCATAAACTGGAATCGGAATAGGCGCCGGTGCAGGTGCTTTGGTATATCCCACGGGACCAGCGGGCCGCTGATAAAGCTGAGGAGCTCCATAAACATCCTCATAGTCTCCATTTCCCCTACTACCACCACCACCACCTCCTCCGCTTCTTGGTTTCGCACTCCTTCCATAAGTATCCGGCGTTCTTCTCTCTTGATTATAATTCAAACCATAATTCAAACCCGATTTATCTGTCCTGAGAGTTGCCTGCGTTGCTTGTTGCTGTTGCTGTTGCTGTTGAGCAGGAACTCGTGTCCCATAAATAGTCGTATTCCTGTCATATTCATTCATTGGACTCTTGCTCGTCATTCTAATATCCGGTGAGACTGGCGATTTCCTATAATCTGGATCAGGCGATGGTGTCGAATTTTGTCCACCTTCAGTGAAACGTTTTGGTTTCGGTGGTGTATTCGCATACACAGGTTGACAATAATTTCTCCCCATTGGCTGAACAGTGTGTACAATATTTGCATTGACACCAACAGTTTGGGGTTGTGAATTTTGATTTGATTGAAGTGCCTGAAGAGTTTGATTGTGCGGTTGAAGAATTTGTGAATGACTCTGAAGAACTTGTGAATGTACAACTTGGGACTGTAACACCTGATGTGTTTGCAATGTTTGCGATTGAAGTACCTGTGAATGTGATTGTAGAACTTGAGAATGAGATTGTACCGATTGAAGTTGATGAGAAATGGGAAATTGATTGTATTGTTGTGAGGTGCCTGGTTGTCCATATTGAGGTGACTGTTGCATCCAACCGTTCACCATTGGTTGTGGTTGCATATCATTTGGTCCATTATTGTTCCCATTTGTATTTCCATTGTTATTTAAATTGGGAAATGAGGCAGTGTTCACGCTATTTGGACTGGAATTATTATTGGAAGTATGACTTGGATCGTCGCGTGATTGGAAGCCATGGAAACCAGAGTCACTGTCGTCAGCACTTTGGTTTAAAATTGATGAGATTGATGAGACACTTGGTCTTGCGCTACGATCGCCGTCCGCTGGTCCAGCCATATCTAGAGGCGAGGATGCCTCGTCTCCTCGGCTGCAAAAATAAAAATATAATTTTACCCTCCAATATTATTTTATTATATTTTTTCAAATTGAATTTCGCGCGCCTACCAACTGGTGGCGCGTATGTGAACTAAAGTAGCAGACGACAAAGTCACGCCGGAGACCTGTTGCCTAGAAGCCGGCAGATTCTTAATCACATATACTGTGCCATAATATAATTGTTGTAATTAAAGATTTTTGTATGGGTAATTAAAGAATATTTCAATAAATCGCTGTGTATATTTGACTATTATTTGTTTTGTGCGCTAAAATTCCTTTTGGATTATTTAGCAAAACCGTTGATAATTAAGATTGTATTCTGGTAAAGATCAGTCATATTATTCCCCCGCTTTCGTTTCGTTCACCAAACAGAATCAAAACTAAAATTTTTGATTCTGATTTCGGAATCAAAAACTATTTTTGATTCTGATTTCGGAATCAAAAACTATTTTTGATTCTGATTTCGGAATCAAAAACTATTTTTGATTCGGGTAATAAAAATGGTAAAATTGATTTTTAATTCCAATCACAATATATTTTGAATTTTGTTTTGTTTCGGTGAAGGTCTCTGCTTTTTTTTCCTAATAAACCAAAATTACAGAATGAGAATATAAAACAAACAACGAGATCAATTTTCCAAAATTGTGAGTGATGCTCTAAAGAGGAAAAGCACAAGAATGCTAATTTGCCATATACGACATGGGGGGTTCATTTGCCAGTTTAGAGAATTCTGTTTAACTTGAACTAAGGTGCGAGAACAATTAGAACAAGTTGAAACGGGAGTAAGTTGGGAAATTCCAAAGTCGGCAAACAATTATCGTTCTTGGGTGAAAGTTTGGTGTTTATCTAGGAATCAAGGGGGTTTTCAAGAGCGAGTATGAGGGAATGAGAAAGATATATATATATATATATATATATATATATATATATATATATATATATATATATAAAGGATTAGGTCGTCTCTTTTACGCCACTTACGGATTTGGATCCTGAAGAAGTGAGGCAAGTGTTAAAGCGTTCACCCATTGGTTCATGTTCTCTCGTGTCTCCGCTGCGAAATGGTAGGTTCTCATGTTCGCGTGCTCGGCCTTGAAAGCGAACTTCTTGTTAACTTTATCTTCTGGTCTGCAAACAGTCACCCTGTACGATGGCAATAGAATCGAACCCAATAATTTCTCCTCCTCAGGACCTGTAACAAAATTTATTTATTTTTTTTTTTCAAATTTCAATATTTGGACAAAAATTTAATAAATATTAATAACAAAAAGAAGATATAAGGAGATATACATTTGCAAAGAGAGGATAAATCAACATTGTGGAAAGTTAAATAGTAGTTTTTGGAAAAAGTTGAACAAGATAAACAAGAGTATATAAAAATTCGACGAGATATATAGTTGGCAGTTTTCCTTTAAAGTTTTTGGCTCATAAGTTTCTTAGGCTTGTAAATATTTAACCCTTCGACGAAAGCTCGCGCGCATCTACACTGAGGAAAGTCAAGGTGAGGTGATTTTTCATCTCAATCATTAGCGATGCAGATGTTCACGGAAGCGAATATCTTTTAAGGCTTCACATAGAAGCTTTATTAATAACTTTCATGTATATGAAAGAAACATGTATATGAAACATATCCTTTGTCATGATGAAAACAGCAATTATTAATTATTATTCAAAAGTAAATTTTTTTGCAAAATAAAATACTAATCTTTCAATTCAAACATAAAAGAAGTTAGTATATATATAAATATTAGGTCAATTAAATACAAAGAGACGAAACATCAAAGCGCAGTTTGGGATATTTGAAAACTTAACTGGAAAAAAAAAGAGAAAAGAAACTTTACTTTATATCCTTCCATACAGCGTATGTATAGCTTTTACTTTCAACATTGATTCATCAAAAGGATAGAGGTACTTTTTTAAACTCTAGCGAGAGCATAGGTGAATGGAAAAAGGAGGAAGGAGGAGAGATCGAACAAAAAAAAAAAAAAGAAGCTTTGGAAAGCTCGCTTCGGGCGCAAAAGTGTGGGCTTTCGAGTGATCTGCATTATTAAAGGGCTTCAGCAGTCGTCTGCTTTCCTCCTTTTTACCCCTATATATAGCTACTTATGCTTGCACTTCGAACGTGACAAGTTCTCCATGAACTTTTATATACGAAAAATTTGAAATTACATAATGAAAAATGAATTATTTTCCTCTTCATTATTTTCAGTTAAAATATAGAATTAAAAAAAAAAATTTCATTATAATTTTTTTTTAACGATTTTTCCATCGATGAAAATACTTCTTTTTTACGGCAACCTAAGCAAAAAATAAATGGGTTCAAGACGGACAAAATTGGGATTAATGTATAAAGAAATAATTCACCGGAATAAATTACATAAAAAAGGATAAAAAAATTCAATTTGAGACATATATTTTTCGAAAATTGAAATAGAAAGATTTTGAATTTGAAAACTCTTAATGAAGAGCTCTATACATCATCCAAAGCTTTAAGATTACAGAACTAAAGTTGGGAAAATTTGCTACTAAATTCAGAACTCAAGAGAACATTCAAAGGAGTACAAACGAGAGATGCATAAGTTGCGAGTAATTTAAAGGAAGTTCGCTAAAACTAGCTTTAAGATCTCGTTCCCGCCAGATGTCGTCGACATTGTCGTGAGTGCGCGCGGTGTAATTTTGGTGAATGCTACATTTCAGAAAACTGGTTCAATTAGTGCCCAAGCACACAAGGCCAATAGTAAAAAAAAAAAAAGAAAAAATTAACAAATTTATGTCATATACGAAAATATATACAAATTTCTGCGGTTGACTTTTCGCATATTTTCTCCCGCGCTTTATCAAAACAAGTTTTTTTTTTTTTTTTTTTTTTTTTTAATTAAAAACCAAGTTAAAAACAAAATAAATAAATATCTTTTTTCACAAATTGGAATAAATTTTACCTTATGAAATTATTAATATGTGACAATGTAAAACGATCTCTAAACATAATCTAAAATTTGTTCATTATTTGCAAAAAAAAATTGATACTAAAAAATTGTTTTATTTTTTTTTACCTTTGTAATAAAAGAGGCAATATTCGGAGAGGACGAACCATCGTCTTTTCCAAAGCATAAGACCCTCGGATCCCTGCTTGTGGAGCCATCCTTGAAGAGCGACAGGGGCAGAAAGTGGCCTTTTTGCTGCAGGTGATCTAAGACCCTGTGGACCACTTTTTCTCCGCACTCCTGATATCGCTGATGTCCCATCGCCTCCGCCTTTAATTCGCACCTGACCTGATGCAGGCGACGAGGACGCCTGGACATTCTGCAACTGAAAAAAAATTTTTCTTTTAATTTCTATTTTCAAAAAAAAAAAAAAAAAAAAAACTGCTTGGAAATTATTAGGTTCAATTAATGATGGAAGCCTTAACATAACCTCAAAACTGAAAAACAGTTTTTAACGCAAAGAAAAATTTAATAAAATTTAAAACACACTAGTAATTATTAATTAAGGAGGCCCTAACATAACCTCCAAACTAAAAAATGGTTTTTAACACAAACAAAAATTTAATTTATTAATTAGAGGCCCTAACATAACCTCAAAACTGAAAAATAGTTTTTAACGTAAACAAAAGTTTAATTAATAATTAATTAATTATGGAAGCACTAACATAACATCGAAACTGAAAAAAGGTTTTTAACGCAAACAAAAATGTAATAAAAATTAATTTCATTTTTAGAAAATTTGGTTATACGGAGAATATTATGTTTGAGTTAAAATCTTTTATTACTAAAGTAACTTTTCTAAAATTGAATTAATTTTTATTAAATTTTTGTTTGTGTTAAAAACCATTTTTTAGTTTTGAGGTTATGTTAGAGCTTTCGTAATTAATAAATTAAATTCTTGTATACGATAAAAACATTTTTCAGTTTTGAGGTTATGTTAGTGCCACCATCATTTATAATTCTAAATAAAAAAAATAAATTAACATTCCTTTATATAAACAATTATTTTCATACGTAAAAAATAATTTACTTCAATTATTTTCGAAATATTTAATTTTTTATATATTTATATAATAAGGGAAAAATTTCGTATATTATATAATTAAATTCCTAGAAAATGATTTTCTCTTTTGATTCTGTCTCAGCTATTTTCAAAAACGACAATGTCGTGTTAATTTTAAGTGTCAGTTTTAGAGGAGAAATTGGAATGCAAACGGGTGAGAGAGAGAGAGAGAGAGAGAGAGAGAGAGAGAGAGAGAGAGAGAGAGAGAGAGAATAGAAACGAAAGGATGAATGAATGTTGGGGAAATAACATTATCACGCAATCTAGAGACACTTCAACCCTTTTCCACAGTCAGAGGGCGAGAATGTGGAATTGTGGAAGGAGAGAGTAGGATTAAAGGAGAAAAAGAGAAACACGCTTATAACAGGACTACGTCCCCCAGAGAGACTGGGAAATACTGACAGTAATGATAATACGAAACGTGATTCTCTCTGTAAAACAAATTTTAAGTTCACATTTTATTCTCTTCTTTTTTCTACTTTTTTTTCGTAATATCTCGTAAAAAGTCTATTTTTCTCTTTTGATAAATTTTTTTTTTAACGAATAGAAAAGAAGAAATAAATGTAAGAAAGAAAAAAGAAAATTGTTGCAAAAAAGTGGGATATAATAAGAAAAAGAAATAAAACTGTATAGAAAAATAGAAAAGTTTCGATGGCTTAGTGGTTGAGATTCTCAATTTGTACTCAGCAGTCCTGGTTTCGATTCTTCACAGCTTCGAAATTCTTTCAAGTATAATATTAATTAATTAACATCTTCTAGAGAAAAACGGCAAAAATAAAGATAAAAAAAAAATAAAAAGAATTTTTTTTGTAATGTCAATTTTTATACAATAAAAAAAAATATACATTCAATTGTCGAATAAAATTAAAAGCGAGAATTATATCGTCGGATTTCCGGGAAATAAAATTATTTATTCCCCAAGGACATAATTGTGCAAGGAAACCGGATAAAGTTTTTTTTTTTATCCTTTTGCAATGGTTCGTTATACTTATTCTAGAATTTGCAAGCGATCTCTCGTATAGTCGTAGAGGCGTTGCACGTCCTCTGAGGGCTGAATAACCGCCTCAAAGGAAACTTTGCACTTTTATCGTAAGTTCCACAGTCTCGTTTATTTTACTCGCATCGTTGCAACTGGAAAAGCGACATCGCATTTCTTTTTCTCTTTTAATTTCAACCCTTTTTTTGAAAAAAAAATATAAATATATATATCATAACAAACGTTCGTGTTAGTTCAAAAAAAAAAAAAAAAATTGGAAATTCTCTTTTTGATTTCAACCTTTTTTGAAAAAAAAAAATATATAACAAATATTTGTGTTAAAAAAAGGAATTTTATAAACAAAATTCGTTTTTGTAAATAAAATTATTTTTTGAAAATTGTTTTGGAAAAATCCAAAACATCTGATAATAAAAAATGTAATGAAAAATAATTTGATATTATTATTGGAAAAAATAAAAAAAAAAGTAGAAATTACAAAATGAATAGCAAAAAAAGAAAAAATGGAATGGAAAAAGTGAAAATTTGTAATAATAAGACGATGATAGAGAGGATGGAAGTTGATCGAAAAAAAAAAGAAAAAAATTTGTATATATGTGTGACGACGTTTATGAACGACCCCAAAGTCCCATGGGTAAGTTTTACCAATACAGTTTCTCAACTTACTGCACTGCTTATAAAGTTGTGGCGCTTTTAGTCGACAAACTCGTAATCGAGAAAAAGAAGCTCTCGAGTTTTACGAGGTTTATCTCGCCAAGTGGAAAGCGGTTTTCGTATATTCCCTCCAGGCACTGAATTTTGACGTTTTTTTTTTTTTTTAATAATTTTTTTTTTTATATAAATAAGTCCTTAAGGAAAATAGAATACTGTTTATCGATTTTTGAGTATCGAATTTTTTTTTTTAAATATTTATTCGACTTAAAACTTGTTTATCGATTTATTCAGTACACCCAGAGAGGAAAATATATATATATATATTTATATTTATTTAAACTTATTTATAATTATTTATATTTCTTTATTATATTTAGCTCAGACTTGTAGTTGCTAAATATATTATTATAATAAATAATTACCTAAATTCCATACAATTTTAAAAATATAAATTAAAAAATATATGAATAATTTTCAAAAATTCAAAATGGCGGATCCAATATGGCGGAAAAAATAAAAAATTTATTGAATTTGCTCGAAATTTGTTACTCGGAGGGCTTTTAAGCTCGTTGAATACGAATCCAAGGTCCGTCTTTAAAAATTCAAAATGGCGGAAATTTTTCTTTTAATTGTTGAATTCGCTTGAAAGTTACTCGGGGATTTTTGGGCTCACTGAATACGAATCCTAGATCCGTTTTTCAAAATTCAAAATGGCGGATCCAATATGGCGTAAAAAATTTAAAAATTAATTGAATTCGCTTGAAACTTGTTACTCGGGGGTTTTTCGGCTCGCTGAATACGAATCCGAGGACAGTTTTTCAAAATTCAAAATGGTGGAAAAATTAAAAAAAATTTAATCACCCCTATCAAAAAGTGACTACTGGCGCGGTGCTGCTACCAAAACTACGCCCAGCAGTGAACTCCAGTAATTTCTGGTAGAGAATATAAAAATTTGATAAAGAATTTTTTAAAAAAAGATTTCCCTGATGGTGTTGTTTAATATACAATGTATAATATGTGTATGCGAAAATAGAGGATAAATTTACCTTTATATATAAATATATATATAGGATGGGTACACAGGAGCAAAGTTACGTTTGAAATCACGCGATGGGATCAAATTCGATTAAAATTATAAAGCTGAGTGCAGTACCTAGTAACGGTAATTAACTTCACGAACAACGGTCAGGGACGTCGAGCCTTTAGAAGGAAACAAGGGTGGTGTTCGCGTGTCGTAAAAGTTTCCGGATCCCGGAAAGGCGTCTGTGGTGATTATAAGATAATTAAGGGTATCTAAAAATGAAGAAAAATAATTTTTTAACCCCCGGAATAAATATAAATAAGTTCTTCTCTTTTTTTTGGTACATTATTATTATTTTTTTTTTTTTGAAATAACAACGGAAAATCGATAATAAGTGAACTAAATACAATTTTTAAAAATGTTTTTTTAAAGATAAATTTTTGATAATTAAAAAAGAAGACAATTAAAAGAAAATGAACATAATTAAAAGAAATGAACACTCACATATTTAGAGAAAAAAAAAAGAATATTTCGCTTATTAATTATTATATAAAATAAAAACTAACAATTACTGATGACATAAAATCGTTAAAACGAACACAAAGGTAATGGGAATAAATAAATAATTGCTATTAATTATTCCTTTCTTTGTTTCTCAAGATATATTTTTATATTCTTTCTTGACTTGAACTATTTCTTGAAAATTGAAAACAAAAGATTTAAAAATAAAACTCTTCAAGAAATTAAATTCTTATTTATTATAAATAAAGTTTTGGATCAATAATATGGTTTAAATATTCAAGCTTTTAGTCTGTCGATTATCAAAAATTTATTTTCACTTTAATTATTTTTACCTAACAGAATATACAATTAGATTTATAAAATCTAATTTTGTCAAACCTATAATCATATTAGAATCTTCTAAAATTAATTTTTAAATAAAGAAAAAAATCATAAATTTCCTCCAAAAAAAAAAAAAAAAATTAATTATGATTATGATAAATTTCTAATTTGATAAAGAATATAATTTATCTAAAAGAAAGTTTACAAAAAAAAGGAAAATTTTATCTGATTTTAAAAACATATATTCAGATTTGAAAAACTTTGAAAAAATATGGTCGAAAGATAATGATATTGAAAGTAAAACTTGGTATATATATATATATAGACTACTGCATAATTTCTACTGATATTACATTTGCCAGAAAGGACCAAAAGAAAGGGCAAGATGCTTCGCTTCAAAAGAAAATCAACTATGGAAAACTGACTTTTCTTTTAAACTTTTTTTTAAATTTATTTTTTCATGTTTTTTTCTATGTAATGGAGCACAATGTATCGAGAACATTAATATTTAATTGTTTTTCAGCGAGGAAACTTCATATCGGTTATTCCCCAGGAAACAGAAATTATTGTAAAGTGAAATTAATCTTTGTTTCTTTGTAATTAACTGAAATTAATTCTTCTATTTACTTGTTTCAACTATAAGATTAAATTAAATTACATTAATTTTCAAGTACTTATTTTATCTCCTATTCACAGGCAAAATTGAAATTATTAATTTGCAAATTTTTAATGTCACAAATTTTAAGAAAA